CCCGCGCACAACCCTCCCCCCCGCGGGTGCCTGGCCTGTCCTGCGCCTCCTCTCGCCCTGGGTCACAGTGTTGGCTTCGTCTGCCCCGTGATGTCACCTCAGAGGGCAGGGTCACTGTCTTGCTCATTGGTGTCCCTGGCCCTGCCTGCCTTGGCCCTGGACCCAAACCGTGTCCTCAGGGCCTTATCTGACTGCTGCCCACACCCCGAAACGGATTCCCGCAGGCTCAGAGTCGTGGTTGTCGTCACCGGGGAGTGGGGGGCTCCCCGCCCCTTCCCACCATCGCAGACTCGGCTCCATGCCTGCCCTGCTCCTCACGGCCCCAGGAGGTGGCTCGTCATCGGTGCAGGGGGCATGTCCGGAACGTTCCAGAACTGGGAGCTGGTGCAGCAGGGTGGCTCTGGGCTTCCTGGCTCTGGCACCTCTGCACCCACCCTCTCTCCGGGGGCTGCAGGCAGGGGGAGCAGGGGAGGCCTCTTTAGGTCACCGGTGCTGGAAAGGCTTCACCTGATTTTCCTGGACAAGGAAACGATGTTCTAGAAACCGAGGCTTTGACTAGAGCCAGAAGCCCCGGAGCACCGCAGAATCCTGCCACGTAAACTGCCCCGTGGCCCAACAGTCACCTCTGCTCGTCACGGAAACCAAATGCGGCCCAGAGAGGCCGGACGTGGGCTCATGCGGCCCAGTGACCGACGACACCAGGCTGCAGCAGCCTGGACTCGCTTCTCAGGGGCTCCCGGTGGCCACCCACGTTGGGGGGACGCTGCAGGGGACCCTGGAAGGCGGGGGCGGAGGAACGAGGCAGCTGCACCCCGCAGCGGCCTGGAGGTGTGTGGGGACCTGCCCTGCGCCCCGCAGACCCCTGTCCTGAGCACCTGCCCACAGGCTCTGCCCCCAGCTCCATCTGCTGTGGGCCAGGCCAGGCCAGGCCGCTCCCTCCCGGGCACAGCGTGAAGCACGTGCCCGTGCCAGCCTGGGCCACAGAACGGCACCCGCGTGAGCGGCATCGGCTCAGAGCCACTGCGGCCCAGCCCACCCGGCCCGGGGCAACCCGAGCTCGCCTGTGACCTAGCCATCCCCACCCCTCTCGTGGCGCCAGCATTCCTTCTGAAATCCCAGAATCCTTCGCAAAGCGAGCCTCGATTAAACGCGCGTCATGACGAGACAGCTTGACACGAGCAGCGGTGACGCCCGTAGTCCGCGGAGGACCCGGGGCCCTGCGCGCCTCGCTTTGCCGTGCGAGGCTGGCCGTGACGCACCGACTTTCCTGGCCACTGTCGGGGGCTCCTTCTAGGAAGCACTGCCCCATCAGAAACCGCGAAAAACCCACGTGATGGAAACGCGCGTTTCGTCTGCCCCGCGAGCGACACGTAAATGACACTCTTCCGACGGGCCCGGAGCCCTGGCGTGTGCCCAGTCCACGGGGCCGGGCAGTGGGACGGGCGCCCGCAGCCCTACCCAGCTCCGAGACCCAAGGACTAGGTCCCCGGAGGCAGAATTTGAGGCCAGAGCAGGTACCTTCAGAGTACGTGTCTCAGGAAAAACGGCACCAGGTAACACGAGAAAGGGGCCCTCCAAAGAGTCAGTCCAGCCCCTCAAAACCCAGACACGGCAGATGACCCTGAGACCACCTCGGGCCACCCCACGCACCTGCCGAAGCACCTTCGGTGAAGGGGGGACAGCCCCACGGGGAGCACTCGTCAGCAGACCCCTACGAGGAGGTACGCGATGACCTGCCAGGCCCCCGAGGCTCCTCCCTGGAGCTGTGACGCCAGAGCCCAGCCAAGGTCCCTCCATGCTCGCTGCTGAACGGCCTCGCTGCCGACAGCACCCACGAGTCGGTGCGGAAGTGCCTGTTTAATCCGACATTGAACGTGAACCTGGCTGAATGCAAGTCACCTGCACAGCTGCCTGCTCAGCGGGGGGCACGTGTGAACGGACGGCAGACGACGCACATGGCCCGTGGCCTGAAGGGGGCAGAGGTCAGCAAAGTAGTCCTGGCAGTCATCCGGCACGCGGGGACACGTCGACACGCCAGACTCCGAAAGCTCGGCGACAGCCACGTACCATCGCTTGTCCTCGGTGCCGAAGTCTGACGCGGGGAGACGGGAAATGGAAACAGCTCGTCCGTGCGAACCTGTCCCATGTCCCCATTTGTAACCAAGAGAGCTGTGGAGCCAGGACGACACGGAAGCTGCGTGGCGCACGGAGAAGTCTGCAGAACACGGCTGTCGGGTCTCAGGAGGGGCAGAGGGGTCGGGGGGAGCGGACGCCCCACCCACGGGAGCCGTCCACAGCCACGCTGCCGAGCTTGACCGGGCATCCGTGGCAACACGGGCTTGGATCAGCAGTTCTGGGGTGCGGTGCCCCCCCTGCCCCCCTACCTCATGCCAATGGGGCCACAAACCACACTTCAAAACGCGGGAGTCCAGAGCTCCTGGGGGAGCCCTCAGCCCATCTCCACCAGGACCCCTGTCGTCGGAGCTGGGGACTGTCAGGCTCCCCCCGTCATCCCCCACCCCGACCCCTGTGGAATTAACCGCGCCTGAGCGAGTGCGGCCAAAGCCTCGTGCGACAGCTGCGCCGCTGACACGCGCGGATCCCGCATCTGCTCCGGGGGCTGCTCCTCGGGAAGGGCGGCCGCCGGCCCCCCACTCCGCGCCACGTTTCTGCAGGACAGACGCCCGGGCGCCTCACCTCCGCTGCCCCTCGAGCCCACCCCCGCCCGTCACCCACCCTCATCCCTTCGTCCCCAGCCCTCCGACCCGAAGGTCCGCGCTTGGACTCGAAGAGCAGCGAAGCGTCCGGCCTTGCCCACCGCCACCCGCTCTGAAGACACCATCCCCCCGACGAGGACTTCGTCAGGGGATCGTCACCCGCCCCGTGCACCCCACCCACATCCATCCTGCAGCTCCGGCGCCACGGCTGGGGACGTGGCCCGCACAGCCCCGGTGAAGTAGCGGTCCCCAGACTCCCCGAAGCCCGCAGAGCATGCGGAACAACGTAAGTGACAGGGACCCCTCGAAGGTGGAGGCAACTTGTGCTTCGTAATCTTTCAAAAGAACAAAGGGCATCGAACCTACCAGAAATCTAACAGGACGTCAACGTGACTTACGGCCCAGACGCAAGCTCTTACTCTATATACACTTCCAAGTTCAGAACCTCTTCTGGGGCAGAAAAATAACGAGCCTTTAAAAAAACGGGAGAGCGGCTCCTTCTCGTTCGCCCACGGAATCGGCCAAACGGAAGTTCCTTGGTACAAATCCCAGTGCCGCCTCTTCTCTGAAAGGCGGCTTTCCAAACGTGTTCATTAGGACACACGCTTACTTTGCCGTAATTAAAAGGAAATATGGTCACGCTCGAGTCTCTCGGCCTAATTAGCACGTATTTCTTCTCCGAGACTTTGTCAAACCTTCATATGATCGTTTCAAAATGGTTATTTGCAGCTAATTGCCCATCACGTCAAGGCCCCCGGGCTTTTAGCAAAAGGCCACCAGGACATAACGGCCTCTGTGAAATGCTCTCTGGCCGCTGCCCTAGACACTGGCTGCAGCAGGAGGCACTCGCTACACCCTTGGTGACGTCCTGCCAGCCTGCGGAGGCCACCTGGTGGGGGGTGACCGTCCCCACCGTGAGCAGACCCGGGACGGCAGGTGAGGGACCCAACCTCTTCCGGGCGGGCGCGGGCATTTCGTGGGAGGACTAGCTGCCGTCGGCCCTCGAGCGGACTTCCTGGGGTTCGGCAGCGCCCCCGAGGGGTGAACGCAGTGGCCGGACCGTGCACGCACGCCACGGACCCGGACGCAGGCGGGCCGAGCACGCCGTGTGGGCCGTGGTGACGCCGGAGCGTCCTGTGTCCTCAGGAGCCCTCGCCCCCGCCCTGGGGACCACAGAGACCTACCTGCTCTTGGGGCCACTTCGGCCTCTCCTCAGGAGACCTGGTCTGGGCCTTGAAGCCTCTCTGCGCGTCCCCGGGGAGCGTGGCCTCGGGAGGCAGGCTGAGCGACTTGGGCCTCCCCTCGTGTCTGCTGGGGCCGCGGCCGGCC